CGAAGAAGAACGAACTTATTAATTAATTTACTCATCCGTGACGGAAAGAGTGAAATACAATCTCATCCTTCTAGGAAAGAGAAAAATTAAATATTTATTCATAAATTATTTTCGAAATTTATTTATTATAAGAAGGTATCTTCTTTCTATATAAAGTTCAAATTTTTTGTCCTTCCTTTTAAGTGCATTTTTTTTCAACAACGGCTACCGGTACAAGAAACGCAATAAAACAAGGTGGTACGAACCTTTTATCATACGAATTAATTACTAATTCACCAACACGAATACGAAATAAAAAATTAAACGATATTTCATCTATGCAAGAAATGGAAACAACCCCAATGGAAACTCAACAACTTCATTCAAGTCAAAAAGAAGCAATAAAGAAAATAGCTGAATTTTCAGGAGAAGCTAATGAACTCGATATCGATGAATGGTTATTTGATTTAAATAATTTATTTTCATTAATGAAATTAAAAGATGAAACAAGAATTCTTGAAACAATGGACAAATTAACAGGACCAGCATTACGATGGTATCAAGAAAACTTACGATCATTTATCAACTGGAGTGATGCTGAAAAAGCATTACGAGATCGATTTAAAGAATTTACATCAGACAGTCAATTAATGCAAGAATTTTTTTATATTTATCAAAAAGAAAACCAATCTGTTATATCATTTTATGAAAATGTTATTCGAAAATATAGAAAGTCTCGACAATTTATTACTGAACAACAAGTTATTACGGTATTACAGAATGGTGTAAAAAATTCATTAAAGGAACATTTAATTCGTAATGAAAAAGAAATTAAAAAACCAGAAGAATGGTTGCAATTTGCAAGAGAAGAAGAATATATACAAAAACGAATTCAACAAAAAATTAACGTTCCACATCATGAACCAAAGAATTTACCATTTTTTGAACGTACATTATCAACTGCAACAATTCAACCAACGTCAACGAATATTCAGTTATCAAGTCAACAACCGTCTACATCACGTCATTATTATAAAAAACAACATCAACAACAATCAACATCAACACGTAGTCGAACATACCCAACACAAAATAATTATATGACCCTTAACCGAAATCAAGAAAATTATCCGAAAAAGGAAACTCAGCAATCAACTCCATGTTTAATTTGCAACAAAAACAATCATACAACAATTAAATGCTTTCATAAGAAGAACAATGGCTGTTTTAAATGTGGACAATCAAACCATCAAGTACGTGATTGTCCTCAACAATATTTTTTCGAATAAAGGGATCGGATGATGGCGACGATCCCTGTGGAGCCAAAAAGTCATCAACAACAACAACATTTTCTCCCGTTTTCGTCGAAATTTTATGCAACAACACTCCACAAAAAGCGCTCATCGATACCGGATCGGCCATCACTATTATACATCAACATCTATTAAATGATATACCACATGAAAAATTAATACCAAAAACAATAAATCATTTATCTGCAAACTGCTCAACATTAGATATTATTGGTGAAATACCTTTAGAAATAAATGTTAGTGGAATAAAAACAACAATTATTGCTGATGTTACAACAAATCTTGTTACAAATTTGATATTAGGTAGTGATTGGATTCAATCAAACAACGTTTATATTCTCACACCTGAACAACGAATTATGATCCGAAGTCGGGGTAAAGAAGTATCAACTCCTTTTGTTACACCACCTCTTCTAAATTATCCAGCTACTCTGATTAACTATATTACTTTTCCTCCTTTTTCAGAAAAAATAGTAGAAGCAAAAGTTCAACCTAACAATATGACTGACATATTATTTGAACCAAATCCTCGATTAAAAAATAAAGCATTATTTACTGCAAATGCATTACTCAATATCGAAAATAGCAAAATTAGAATTAGTATAATTAATGCAACTAATCGACAACAAACGCTTTCCGAAGGAACCAAATTAGGTATAGTGACACAAGTATCTTCTACAATTGGTGTCACCATGTCATCAAATTATTTAACAGAACGCATTCCGGAAGGAAAAACGTGTAAAGAGCTCATTCCTGAAGGGAAAGGAGCGAATAAATCAAACAAATTAAATTTCAATAATATGCTGACTACAACAGTACATGGAAAACAACACCAATGTCGTGAATGTTACCGAAATTTTGATACTGGCAATGAATTATTTAAACACCTTAGAAACAAATGTTATCCTGAAGAAATAAGACAGCAAATAAACAAATTAACCGAACATATTAGTGATGATAAACAACGGGAACACATTTTAAAAATTTTATGGAAATATGGAAAATTATTTGATATTAGGAGACCATCAAAAATTGATATTGTTTTAAAAAATGCTATTGATACTGGTACACATCGACCAGTCCATACTCCACCATATAGGAAATCGAACAAAGATCAAGAAACCTTA